TTTCTGTCAGGTCTCTATACAACTTATATATTCTCTCCTTCACGTGGTGAGTGTGTCTCATGCCCATCACAAGGCAATTACTATCTGACATATGGATTATATTATCATAGGATCAATACTGCACTAATTTGAATGCCTATGGGAGAAACAAGCCATGATCTGTTGAATGGTTAATTGCAAAAATAACTGCCAAACCCAAATAATTCTGAAAATGAACAGTCTGAATTCAAACAAATGCTTTAAAGTCCATTCTCGGTTGTTGGAGAAATTGACTGTGACTGAAAGAGGGTGTATCGTGGGGAAAAATTACCATTATTCATGGAAATATTGAAGGAATCTGGAGTCGGATACATACAGTTTTGTGCATATTGACATATAAACATTGAGGAGCACTTCATGTTCAGATCAAACATGAATTTGTCCAACTGACTGATGGACAGAGCTGATTTCTTAACACCTTGTAATGTAAATGAAACACACCATCAACAAGACTATGTCCCTTTCAACCGTAAGACCCAGAGACAGAGGTCTCTCACACACCACTGAACTAACAGACCACTACTGCCAAAGTATGCATTACAATCAAAGTACCCTTCATATGTTAGAAAAGTCTAGGCATTTCACAAAAATATACTTCTCTTTTAAAACTCTGATTTTATTCCTCATCAGTACACAGCAGCAACTGCTAATTGACAATCAACTCTGACCACTAATCATAGCCATGGCAGACGTTTCTAAATTCATTCAAGGGAGATAATACATGCACAGATCTCACAGTGAACCAATGTGTCAGCTCCATTTTATATCAAAGGTTTTCAAATAATCCCAAATCTCATCGTAAAAGTTGTCAATTCAGATTTGTTGAGCTACAACATAAAGATGGATCTGTATCCCTGGAAATAGAAGAGCTGAACATCAAAATATCTGCAATAAACTCAGCTTAAAAATGTCTTAACAATATATCATTAAAACTGCTGGAGTTTACGCTCCAAAACCATCTAAAACTATCACACAGTATTAACAGATTTGATATTGAACAGTTTTAATATGGGTTGCCTCACAACTAGACTAAATACTTGAGGTGAACATTGACTTATAATAAAACATTCTGAAGATGATAACACCCAACCAAGTATAGAACTAAATATCACACTCCATCTCCTATCTAACATGAACTATTCATTTCTTCCTTTAATACAGAAGGAACAGAAAGACAAATATGACATTCTCATTACTGTTTGATTGTTGTATTAGCTCATTTTTGATTACATATTAAATTTTCAAGTACCGGGACAGAACTCTAAATGAAACTGGAAAGGCATCTGCTTCGTGTGTAAATGGAGGCAGCTGTACCCTTTGTCAAACACCCGCAAAAACAGGCTACAAAACAACACTTCATTAATACGCCAGTACACAAATTGGTGTCTAAACATGTTTGAACTATCATCAACAAAGGGAATTTTTAATTCGTTGACTAAGTCATCAGGCCTCACTGGTCACATCTTGGTGACAATCAATATACTGATGTCACAATGCTGTATAAAGTACACAGCATTTGGAATTCAAAACAACTTTCCTAAAACAAGTCATTTCCTGTTCTTGACAAGACCGAATATTTTCAAATCAATTTCTGGAAGTAAAATCTTACCCATAATGCATCAGTTTCATCAGTCTATTGATTTTGAAAAAAAATACATATGCCAGACTGGTGGCGATGTTTTGTTTCACATTTTCAAACCAAATCAACAAATTTGGCTTGATGACTCCAGACATGTTAGTTGAGAAGCTGAAACATGTACTTGTTTTAACAGAAATGCAATCTGAGTACCCCAAATAACAGCCAATTCTACATGATGTACATCAGAAAATTCTCTGGAATAGAAGAAGGACCAGGCTTGCACTTGTCATGATCACAGAACTGACGAAAACCAAACACAGTGGTGGTCAGTTCGGTAACTACTAGGCAACCCACTGGAAGAGGCTTACAAACAGTTGGATAATAATGCAAATATTTCATAGCATAGTTCCATTGGATTAAAAAGCATAACACTTCATCTGAAGAATCTTTGGAGTTTCAGCATTATTAGATTCAAGTGGACTTGCTTAGCTTGAGATAAATATTAACAAGTTATCTACATAAATATTCTACCGATATTTCATGCAACAACACAAACAACGATCTCGGACACCAGTCTAACCCTCCCGAACAGATGCAGCATTAAGTTCATCAGTGTCTTAACCCCTTGCTAACTTTTCAAGGGCTTTCCTTCACTGACATAAACAATATTATTTTGTACAGACAATAATTCCCATAATTTGGAATAGTTTCCATAGAAACAGTACAGTAAAACCAACAAATTTGCCTGAGTATCATTTAGTTACAAATCTAAATAAGCTAATTTCTTATTGTCATCAATACATTAGGGTTTTGTATACACGACATTCCTCCATCTATTGTGGATACATAACACCTCATAGTCACTGGTTCAAATCAACCAATCCTGTAAACACCTGGTACCTACTACTGAGTGGTTTGAGGCAAACATTCTGTTGTTTGGTCATGTGCAAAAGGGAGCATCTGGAACCTGGTGCCAGTGAGCACACAACAGCCACATATGTAATCCTAACAAATCTATTCATCTTAACCAACTCTTCAATGTCATGTCGTGATTCTGACATGGCCACGTGAACACAGAAGTGGTAGGAAGGATCTACATCACTCTTTGTGTGAGTAATTAACTGTCGTGTTGTGCCAGAACTGTCAACACATCAGGCTTCGCTGGGGTATTTTCATTTTGACAAGCCTGGAGAGTGTTATGCAGCATTTCCTGTGATATCATATCCTAACTGATCAGAGTGACATGGAAGGTGAGGATGACATTTTTAGTCTGTCCTTCAGGAAAGAGGCCGAAAACATGGAATCATTTACCTACTTGGATAATGTGCCTGCTCAATTTGATAATCATTTTGTACTGAAACGGAATGTGATCCATGAATGAGCATGTTTTGGTGAGACAGAGAGCAAGTCAGAAAATTAGATAAAGCCTTTATACAAAATCAGTGTGGACTTACTGAGCATTAGCACTTTGGAGGCAAAAAGTGAGAGAGGGAGATGGGTTTTACGCCACTTTTAGCAATATTCCAGCAACATCACGGCAGGGGACACCAGAAATGGGCTTCACACATTGTACCCATGTGGGGAATCGAACCCGGGTCGTCGGCGTGACGAGCGATGTTTTAACCACTAGGCTACCCCACCGCCCCAGAGGCAAAAAGAATGAGTACATCATGACAGTATTGTCATCAGTATTGGGGGCCAATGCGTGTCCCGGAGATTAAAGATGATTCCTAATCTTGACTTAGTGATAGCTGTATGTCTGACACTGAAGCCAGAGATGATGAAAAGTCAGCTTTCAGTTTAAGGAGAAATGGCTATCTAGATAAGTAAAAGAATCATGGTCCAAGGGTAGACAATGTAAAATGTAATTCCAGACATGCCACATGCCCCAGGGAAAGGGTATAAGAATGAGTCTGTGTGCAGGAAGTGTGGAAGACAACACAAGTGCAGTGGTTAAATATGTCCAGCCACAAATATTGTCTCATACACACCTGAATGGGAACTTTTATTGCGATGTGTCTTGGCAAACACATCATTGAAGTCATTGAGGACAATCACCATGAGCAAGAGGACGACAAATTCTTTGTAGGCACCATCACTTGATGGAAATAAAAATCCATGGGAATAAATCGTGTTTGTGGCAACCAGGTGACATTAAGTTAGATTCAGCAGCTGATACTGTTATGTTAGACTGACTGAGGTTGGTTTTACGCCGCTTTTAGCAATATTACAGCAACATCACAGCGGGGGACACCAGAAATGGGCTTCACACATTGTACCCATGTGGGGATTCAAACCCGGGTCTTCGGCGTGACGAGCCAACGCTTTAACCACTAGGCTACCCCACCGCCCCTGTTATGTTAGAAAAGGTGTTTACCAGCTGGATGTTTAGAAGATGCTCCATGATGAACAGGAGTGGTTGGGTTCATTCCAGCTTCAGTGAATCATCCTTATCAGGAACAGTTTCATTTCATTTTCAATAAAACAAAGACAGCTGACAGCACCACACTGCATAGTGGCTGTGTTATCACAACTGATAGATGACCTCTGTGTATACAGCCCCTTACTGACAATGATGATCTGATTAGGGAGGTGGGGATCAATTATTATTTGGAGCGAACAATTAAATCAATATGATGACAGCTGGCACAGCCAGTAGCGATAACATGAGCAAGATACTGTTGATGCACAAACCAGACAGGTGATAGAGCATAGGGCTCAACGTATTCATCATTAGACTGGTCCTACAACAAAAATAAGATACCAAGGACATTTGCTACCCTAGACCACTGGGATAGCACAAAAATTATCTGTGTCAGTATGTGTCAACTTTCTATGGATTATGACAAACCCTTCCTCAGATAAGGACAAACAAGTATCAAGAATACAAGTATCTGTATCGAAACTTCACATCACCTGAATAAAGAAGTTGTTCATCCATAAAAACTGTCCTTATCTGATTCTCCAACTTCTAAAAATGCCACTCAAAGACGTTACCCTTCCTCATGGAGTTAGACTCAGCTGTTCAAGATCAACCACCTTAAAAGATCTACGGATCACAATAGCACTAACACAAGACAGATGCTGTATAATGTCAACATTTGTAGATAAACAATTCAATTTATCATAAATTACAATAGAATCTGGCCTAGAAATATGCACAAAATGCGAAAACCATCACCAGTTTCAAAATATTATGGGTTTTTTCAAAGCTTTCATTTCCTACATCTAAGGTATATACTCATTTTCCAATATTGTGTGTCACACGATGAATATTATGGTATTCCTGCCTCTGGAAGACTAGTTAATGAAAATGCAATGCCACAAATTCATTTCTTATATCTATTTAAAAGACGTTAAAGAACACCCAATTCTTTGATAACGCTACAGAAAATCTGTAAAATGGAAAATAAAAACCTTGTGCACCTTGAGCTTTTCAGTGATAGTATACCAATATCCAATCAGTGAAATATATCTTGGAAATAATAATGAAAGAATATACATTGTTGTCTGACAACTGAACTCAAGAGTCCAGTTCTGAACTGTCAATACTATTACCCTACGACTAGATAAAGAGCAGTTCGAAAGATACAAACAATAAGTCCTCCAGTTCTGGATTAACTGGAAATAGTTCATCTGACAGTAATGAGTGAGTGAATTTAGTTTTACCGCGCACTCAGCAATGTTCCAGCTATATGGTGGCGGTCTGTAAATAATTTAGTCTGGACCAGACAATCCAGTGATCAACAGCAGACAGTAATGAACCTTTCAAGGGTTCACAGTTGAAATCATTCAACAACAGCTGAAATCACCGTCTATTTACTGGGCTGAGAGTGGCAGCTTCAGTAATGTCATCTTTGTGTACACATGATCTCTACCACACCACCAGCACTATTATAATGTCAAGTTTCATTCCCATTATCAAATTTGTTCTCAGGATGTCAACATTACAACAATAATTTTTTTATGGGACAGAATCTAGGCAATACTCCAACTCCAGGAATTATGGTTTACTGAACTTTGAACTGCTCCCTAATATTTCTGTTTTTATTTATATATAATACAACTTGAACTCTATAAGCACAAAACATTCACCTTACCATCGAAATGATCCAATGTAAATCAGCACTCCACATGTCTTGTACACGCTGCATTGCTCCATCACCTGACATAACGACACTCCTTACAGTGGCGGTATTACTGTTAACTAGTGTTTGGAATTGGTTTAAATCTCACAATTGATGATTGGTTCATAACATCCGATCACTCATCGAAAATAATTGGTTAGCGTCATTTATCAAATTTTCCTCGTTATGTTTGGATATGCACAAAAAATAACCATTAGTTCTGTCTGTGTTTTTGCAAATTGCACAAAATGCATTTTGCAAATCTGACATATTTAAAGGATGACTAGTATGTGAGGAACATAAATTACCTGGAGTCTTTAAGATAAATTCAATCATGACTTGGAATGATCTTGTTCAAAAATTGTTTGTGTTTGATTATGAGAAAACATGATCGATTGCTTGGTCGTTTAGTCATTGCGACCAATCTTCGATTATTTCAATCAATCGGACCACCATTACTGTTAACCAATGAATCCAGACTTGGACTCAGTCATGGAAGCAAGTGAGGACTTATGAGTACCAACATTTCATCAAGCATCAGCAATATTTCTCGTAAAACATGTACAGTTTGCTTAATTATCACCCAGCTGCAGGGTTCGACAAATATTCATACAGATGACGAAGCTTATTTGACTTCCGTGACTTTAAACATCCTCAGCTGACGAAAACTGGAGAAACATCATTACCACACTGCAGATCAGCCGAACACCAAGGTGACGGGCAAAGGAAGTGTATACAAAGCCTGTCCAGAACTGACAATGGATTATTATCATATTTATGTAAGCAAGAAGCAGCTTTCAAACATTCCAGCTGCAAAATGACTTAAGGCAGGTGCTACAGAGAAAGGGGTAACAATATCTACAGCACTACCTGTCACAGGTCTGAACACACTAAGTGCCAGAACACAGCAGTCATCCAAGAGCCCACATGACTACCCAACCTGTGGTTTATGTGATATATTCTTTAATGGCAACAACAATTAAACTCCATGGTTACACAACACATCTCAAATGTTAACATCTCTTCTTGGACACACTCCTTTGGACTTTCATACATTCAAGTAAACATATAGCTTCAGGCAACTTTAAGTGTAAACATAATCAGATCATTTTATCAATCTATTCTTGGAAGGGTAAAACAGTGCCCAATCAGGCATTCTATACCCAACTCCTGACCCCTACAGTGGATACCAGGAAGGGTCAGATACTAGGGTTCAGGTAAATAGGGAGTATATTTGGACTTGTAACTTGCTGTTTTGTTCATTTAACTTTGAAGAGCACTACTCCATTAATCCACTGTAACCAATAAAGTCTGGAAACTGTTCCCATCATTTGAGACCCCGTAAAGAAGACAATACATGAATGTCACCTTCTTCATAACATTCCTAACAGCAGAGAAGCTGACATTATATATCCTCTCGCTGCTTTCAGAACCCTCTGCCCAAAACAAAACGGATGAGGAATGACAATAGAAACATATTCCAGTTTAAAGCTTATGAACCTGTATAATCTATCTGGAGAACACACACATTTGCTGTTTGGCTTTGATTTGAATAGTACAAAAGGATACAATCCACCAATTTGTTGCTTCATTGTTCTGACAAATCCTGCACACGGTCATATTGCAACACTAAGTGTTGGCGCCAATCTACAAAGCAATATTTCACATGGGCTTGGCACCAATATGGCTTTGGGGGACAGGGTCCAGGAAATCTTAACTAGATACCGCGGGGATCGGCTTATGTACGAAACATACCATTTTGACATTGATTCTAAGGGTCATATAGGGGGTCGGCTTATCTATGGGGGTCAGCTTATCTACGGTAATATACGGTACTGCAAATATTACTGAATGATTAGAAAGAGAAATGTTTCAAAAGAGTTCAATTAAATGTTCTCAATACCACTTTTTGAATTTCCACTGCACCTGTTACAATACCATTTGGAAAGTAAATGTAAACGTGTTATAACACACCATTGGGACCATAAGGACACAGTTCTCATGTTATAAACATAGAAATAGTTCTACTGTTTCTGTGAAGTAAGCATTGAACAAAAGACAATTCACAATCAAGCCATAAAACCAGCTACATGGTGATCGTGTGATTGGTGTGATTGTACAACAAAAGACCTCTTCGACTGCTGTGGAAAAATAGATATTCATGTTCTACTTTGACATTTCACAACATCTAATGGTAGACATGGAGCTAGACCACTCTCCCACCTATTTACAACCATGTAATATAGTTATGGGCACATACAGATGAAAATATACAATCTCTGTAACGAAAGAAAAATGACCCATGCACGTTCATAGGCTGTTCTACATACACAAAATAAGGACTTGTATATATTTTACATATACACCACCCTTTGTTTATCAAATTAAGGTAATTGACAGGTTATGGCTTTAAGGCCTTATTTTTATATCTGGATGTATGGTCTGTTTGTTTTTCACAGTCTTTGCTCTATATGCTTCACATAACAGGGTTTCAAAAGACATTATGGTGATGTATGTTAGAACAAATCAGGAGATCTGTTTGGAAGGTGACACATGATTATCCATATTCGTGATACGAACACAGTTCATGAATGGTTTCATGAAAGGTCATCTTAGCACTGGTGGAAATACCTTAACTCACAATGTAATATCAAAACAGACAAATAATGATACTCATATTCTGAAAACATCTCTACACAAATAAGGCATAAGCTTGTCTGTAAAAAAAACAGTGCCTCCACAAGTGTATGATGAATATAATAAAACTACGCACAACAGTCACCTGGCCTTGTGACAGACACAGATATGTCATGATCAGTCCAATGTTTTCATTGACATTAGTTAATGGTGATTGTTTCTGGAAACATTGATGATGATGGTGGTGATTGGTTTGATATGAACTGAAGGAGTTCTTCAGGATTATCAGACTGTTTGACCAACTGCTCTTCCAGTAGAGTTTCCTCGATCTGAACCTTGTGCCCCGGCAGTTCCAGCTGCATGATGCCTTCATCACCCAAGTCTTGCTTCAAACACACAGTGCCAGTAACTGTCTGTTTTCTGCATGTCGTCAGCTTTGACGTCTGCTTACAACCACCATCAGAATTCTCATCTGCACGGATCTTCTCAACACTGGTTTTGGATGAAATTTTAGCATCTATTGATGATGAAGAGTTTGGGCAATGATCTTTGTTGGGTGATCTTGGTAAACTATCTGGGGACAAGTTTGGAGATTCTATCTCAATTTCTAAATTATTTACACCATCTGATCTGATAAATGCCTGCATTTTTAAATCATCAATGGTAATTGTTACGTTGCATTGGTCCTCTCGTGAGATGTTGTTTATTTGTTCCAAAAGGTCATCATCAACACGAGATTTTGGTAGAGGTACTTTGGAATTCAGCTGTTCCTTGTCTGAAACAATAACAGAATCAACAGAACTACGTCCACTTTCTTCAGCATACTTTTCACGCATCAGTTCTGCATCATTCTTCTTGGTGAGTCGGAAAATATCAAACTTCTTACAATCTTCTTCCTCATCTTCTGCCTTTTTTAAATACTGGTCCCGAAATTGTGACATTTGGCTTGCATGCTCTGAAAACACTGACGATGGTGGTGGCAAACGAGCATGGTAAATGAATGGTTCATTAGGTGGTCTGAATGGAGGGTAGAGGCCCCCTGGATATATTGCAGGGTGGTGAGAGCCAAATCCACCTGCAGAGAAGGTACTTTGAGAGGGAGGATGATACTGACCCAATGGGATACTGGCCAGACTGGTAGCAACAGGAGGAGGGGGAGGGGGGTAGAAAGGTGGAGTCATGAGTGTCCCTGAAGGATTCGAAGAATTTAAGGAATGAGGTCTTAAGTTGGAGTTGTATGCAAGATGTGGATGGAACGCTGGCTGTGTGGGCACACTGTAGCGACATGCCTGTGGTAAACTCATCTGGCTTGATGACACAGGTGGAATATTGCCTGGAGGAAACCCATATGGAGTTGGTAATCCATGTGGAGGTATCATATGTCGGGGATGGCCATACTGCACAGCTCCATAGTGCTCAGGACCAAGATGTCTCAACTGTTCTAATGCTCGAGGTCCAAGTTGATCAAATGTTCGAGGTCCAATTTGATCCTTAGGCAACTGTGGTATCTGACTGTTTTGAAAATGTTGTAAGTGATTAATGCGTGCTTGGTAATGCCCTGATGGCATTTGTCTCAACAGCTCCGACTGTGCAGGTGGCACTTGACTAGCTGGAGGAGAGCGCACAGCCTCTGCTGACATGGGCCTGACATCACCCTGGAGTGACCTTGGTCGTTCTACAGAATGAGACCGCATTGATTCCTGTGAAAATGGCCTGACATTGTCAGGTGTCATATGTCTGACATCTGCTTGGAATCCTCGAAGAGGGTCTAAGTGTTGCTGCCGTGATGAATCAGGAAGTGAAGACTGTGAATTTGGTCCTGGTGGACTTGCTCCTGGAGGGCTTGGCCCATGAGAGCCTGGAACAAAAGTTGGACTACTTTGAGGCAGACGACAAGAGTTTATTTCATTGGGGGACTGAATTGGACCCTGATTTGGTGACACACACATGACAGGTGGGGACGTGGGATGTACTGAGGGTGCACCTGGAATTGCTGGTCTGGGAAGGCCATTATTTCCATTCAAACTGTCCGAGCGGATCCTTGGCATTTTCTTCCTCAAATATAAACACTTTCGATAAATGCATGACTGTTTTAAAACGTCCCTCCTCATGCAGAAGTGACACTTGTCACAGTTCTCCTTGACCTGGCATGGTCCACACTGCCCACATTTGCGTCTCCGCTTCAGCCGGAGCTTCCCACCACCATCCTGATATTCATGGTACTCCGAGAAGTCCCCACTTTCATTGGGACTTAGCAGCTCCTCGTCACCATACTCCGAGTTATCTAGCTGAACCACAAACTGCTCATGCTCTGTCTCTATTTTAATGGGTAGCTGGTTGTAGTCAGCCATTGCTTGTCTTCAGACCTGAAATAGAAAACATTTTGAATTAATCAGTGTTCTAATGATATATCTTCATCAATGATTTTATCCTGAATCAATATGTAAATGACTGTTCAAAATAGTTAAACAGAATGTCCATCCTTGAAGTCATCATTGTGCAATATGTAAAACATACTCATGAAATGAATAAGGCAACTCTTGAAAGTACATGTGTTCCTTTATTTAATTCCAGAATTTCACTCACAGTGCAATACATACCTTGTGAAGAAACCTGGAAAAGAATAAAGGAATACTTGTACTTTCATGTGTTCCCTCTTTTTTGTTTCCATGAGTATATGTAGGTGTAAGTGAGTTTTACGCAGCACTCAGCAATATTCCAGCTATATGGCTGCAGTCGAGTCTGGGCCTGACAATCCAGTGATCAACAGCATGAACATCGATCTACGCAACTGGGATACGATGACATGAGTCAACCAAGTCAGCATGCCTGACCACCCGATCCCATTAGTCGCCTCTTACGACGAGCATGGGTTACTGAAGATCAATTCTAACCCGGATGTTCACGAGTAGGTGTAAGTAGACCATAGGAATTCCTATAAAGCAAGTACACTACAACACCAGGCATGCCATTAAAAGATTGATATAACGTGTACACCTTCCTGTTCACCAATGTCCAACATGTTTAATAGGCACCACCCAGCCTGTGACAGAGTGAGTAAAAAGGTTTTTCACACACACGAAGGTATAAAACCAATGTGAGAAAACTGGTATCAAACATATACGTGTGAGATCCATTTCCAAGCCCATGATTGGCTACTCCATGCTGATGACCTACAGTCAGATAATGACGGACCTCTTTCCTGATTATAATTCATTGAACAGTTACTTGTGTTTCAATCGAGCACTAACCTAGCTACATACTCCTTAAATCCAGTGTTCACGAATGGTGTTTCAAAGTAACAGGACATTGGGTCCTGTAAGTTTCAGATGTCTGTCTGACCCATTGAAAATTCAAAGGACCCATAGAATAAAATTAAACACACATTTCAGATTTAACATTTCTCATAATTGGCATTGAAATTATTTATTAACAGCAAACAAGTGTCACATGTCACATATAGCCACTTCAGTCAAAGTCATTATGAAACATACAGTCAGACACTGGGGCCGGTGGGTTGTAGACTTCTATCAGACAGTTGGCGAATCTGACGGATTTGTCAGAGGGTCAGATGCTATTCGTGAACACTGTAAATCTCCCCCCAAAATAACTATATGAATATCACAAGGAGAACTTATAATGTGCATACTTTTTCTCATAATGGTGAGGTGAGGTGAGGTGAGGTGAGGTGAAATTGGGTTTAACGTCGTGCTTGAGAATATTTCGCTCATATGACGACGTGCATGCGTGTGTATGTGTATATGCGGCTGCTTGTACTAGCCCAGACTTAAGCTGGTTTTATAGTGCTAGCTCACTGAGATACCATGCCGCAGTGAAGCATGAATACCCACCCCACTCAGACACAGTATACTGACTCCGAGCCGACCAGTCCTGGTTGTACCCAATAATGCCGAGCACCAGGCAGGGACCAACAAGTACCATATTTTAACGTCTTTTGGTATGACGCTGTCGGGGATCGAACCCGCGACCTTCTGCTCTCCGGGCGGACGCTCTAACCACTACACCACGGAGGTCTCATAATGGTAATAACATCATAAATATAAATGTCTATAAATTTATGCCCGGCATAAGACTTTGATCTTGGCTGATAGCAGCCTTTCCAGACTTTGACAGTCAGCCATTGAGTCATTGGGTCTGACCTAGTTAGCATGTCAGGGAGAGCCATTCTGTATACGGCATCAGTATCTCATTCTTGATTATAATGTACACATACTTCATTGAGGTAGAAAATAAATAAAACCTTTTTATCCTGTGGAGCCATGAAATCAACAGGCACAGCACGTATAGGTTCACTGCTGTGCAGTGTGCAAATACTGCATTATACACATAATACTGCATTCATACAGATTTTTCTTCTGCATGTTCTGTCAAACAATGTCTTGAATAATGACATTTACATGACACAGAGATTCTGGCACTTGCATAAACTTGTCATTCCAAATATGACACTTACATGGAAAATTCACCTTCAACTGATAAACCCTCTATATGAAAGCCTCCTACTCACAAGCAGTTATTCTTAGCCGAGGGATGACATAAATGAATGCTCCTCCTGGCCAGTCACCCATGTGACTTACTTCATGCTATGTTCATCCATGGTTAATGTCAAGTTTCAACCATAAATATCACCTTTCAGGAGCAGGTGAACACTGGTGCAGATACAGCCAGCCAGGTATTTATTCACCATCTATACACAGTTTGAATACACAGTGTTCCTTCATCTACCGTTCACAGGGATTTACCTTGAGTCCTGTATTTGAGGGTCCCTGGGACTCATACTCTAATTTTCAGGGGTCCTGGACAACAAAATGGGGGTCCCAGACACTTAGATATTAATATTATTATTAATACTGTTATTGTATTGTGTATCAAGATCATCACATTAATTGTTACAGTAATCAAATTGCAAATAATACCATAACAACCCAGCTAGTAGCAAACTCAGTGATAACTTATTGTTACTTGATTGGAATTTTTACAATAAGTATTTGGACATTTTCTGCATCCCTGTGGATGCGTTAATAAATTTCGCGTCAATTTTAATGGGTATAGGACGCAGGAATTTGTGTCCCATAAATCCCTGTATTTACACATAGGGCCCATATGGGGTGTAGTGGTGAGCTGTACATCTTTTAGTAAGGGAATGAAGGTCGGTGTGTTATGTCTTTGTAAAGTTAAATGAGTTACTCCGTGTAAAATCCTTGAGCTGACTCTACCACAGCCTGGCCTGGGAATGAGTAGGTACGACGACTCATGTAGTCGGCACACTCCAGGGCTGATTTGATGAACTGGAAGTAACTTGCACCTGGTGCATGCTGACTGAGAAAATTAGCTGCACCAGACGAAACCAGGATGCACCCTAGTGCTATCAATTTATCAAAGTTGAAATAAGATGCATGAACTAGTGAGTGAGTGAGTATGGATTTACGCCGCTTTTAGCAATAATTCGAGCAATATCTTGACGGGAGACACCAGAAATGGGCTTCTCACATTGTACCCATGTGGGAATCGAACCCTGGTCTTCAATGTCTTAGTGTATGAAATATGCAAAAATAGTAAGAAAGAAATTGCTTATTGAAAAACATTCAAGGGAAGTCTTGAAAGTCTATGAAGAAAATCCAGTGAACTGTTCATGAGATATCTCGCTGAAAATCTTAACATGCAGTCTAACATGCTGAAATCTTCAAAGTGTTGCCGTGACCTTGAAAATTACGTGAGGTCACCAAAATCGACTGGACCTTGCACCTTCCCCAGATGAAGCTTGGTGTCAAATATGAAGAAAGTCCAGTTTATGGTTCTTGAGATATCTCGCTGACAAGCTTAACATACAGCTTAACATGCTGAAATCCCCAAAGTGTCGCCATGACCTTGAAAATTGAGTGATGGTCACCAAAATTGACTGGGCTCTATGCCTTCCCTAGATAAAGCTTGGTGTTGAATATGAAGAAAATCCAGGGAACGGTTCTTGAGATATCTCGCTGACAAGGGTAAAATGTTAAAGTCCCCTTGTGACCTTGAAATGAAGGTCAAGGTCACAATACCTGACTGAGACCTTTGTTTTACTGTGATGAAACTAGGTACCAAATAGGAAAAGAATCCAGTCAACGGTTCTTAAGATATTCCAATTCGTACGTACATACGGACGGAGCCTAATACTAAATCCCCCGCTTCGAGCTAAACGCGCAGCAGGTGATAATTATCAGGTTTTTCAATAGATGGTTACACTAGTACATGGATTACATGGTTAAATCATTGCACCTATGTCGGGAATCGAACCAAGGTCTTAGACATAATGGACAAATGCTTTAACCACAATGCTACCCCACCACCCCTTGTAACTGAGAGGCCGCCGTGATGTTGCTGGAATATTGCTAAAAGCGGCGTAAAACCAAACTCAGTCAGTCAGTTGTAACTGAGAGGCAAAGAAGAGTGAATGACTATTGTTTTACACCACTTTTAGCAATATTCAAGCAATATCATGGCAGGGAACACATTGTGCCCAAGTGGAGAATCTAACCCAGGTTTTCAGAATGACGAGAGAACGCTTTAACCACTAGGCTACTCCAACGCCCAAAGAAGCAAAGAAGCTGTATGTATAGAGAGAATAGATGAGGAACACTGTGTATACACGCTCATGAAGTACTGACAATGTATGTATTGAGCAAGTAGGGTTCGAACTCGTACGAAAATATCAACAAAATAAGTGTTCAAGTGTTTAATGACAAGTGAACACTTTAACCACTAAGCTACTCCACCTACCACAACATAAAGACACTAAGACAGAATTTGGAACCAAATGTACAACTAAAATCCAAATGTAATATAATATTATTTAGCACAGAAAAATGTACAGATACGCGTGCTCTACATTGAAAACACAGAATGTTTATCTCCAGTCTACAATAACAAACTTCCCTGCGAACCCTTTTGAGTTAGCGACGGTAATCAGGATAAAGACTGAAGCCACAAAGGTTGAGTTTGATGTTTTAAGTCATCAATCTGAATTAATGTAAGAGATGTTATACAAGGTCCATGAAGCAATGTTTTTCACCTTGTAATATGTCGACCATATACATCACAGACATTGAGTGTGTGTCAGAGACATTTTGTTTGCCAGCATCACAGATTCACAGGGGTCCCCAACAACAGTCCAGGTTCTATGTGAACCCTTCACCTTGAAATCATAGTCTCTCTCTCAATACATTGTTTTCTGCCACACATATTCGGAGAACACTGTAGTAACAGCATAACAGCACTGTATAACCTGAATCTGTCCATATAATTCTATTCTACAACGATTAAGAAGTATTTTTTTATAAATATTACCTTCTCCACACATGATGCA